TCCACAAACACTAAAACCACCACAAACACTACTGCTTCCACAAACACTAAAACCACCACAAACACAACTGCTTCCACAAACACTAAAACCACCACAAACACTACTGCTTCCACAAACACTAAAAACCACCACAAACACTACTGCTTCCACAAACACTAAAACCACCACAAACACTACTGCTTCCACAAACACTAAAACCACCACAAACACTACTGCTTCCACAAACACTAAAACCACCACAAACACTACTTCTTCCACAAACACAAAAACCACCACAAACACTACTGCTTCCACAAACACTAAAACCACCACAACACTACTGCTTCCACAAACACTAAAACCACCACAAACACTACGCTTCCACAAACACTAAAACCACCACAAACACTACTGCTTCCACAAAACACAAACCACCACAAACACTACTGCTTCCACAAACACTAAAACCACCACAAAACACTACCACCACCACAAACACTAAAACCACCACAAAACACGACCACCACCACAAACACTAAAACCACCACAAACACTACCACCACCACAAACACTAAAACCCCAAAAACACTACCACACCAACACCACAAACACACTTCCACCTCCACACAACACTTCCACCATCACGAACACTACCACTACCACAAACACTACCACCTCCACACACACTTCCACCATCACGAACACTACCACACCACGAACACTACCACCTCCACAAACACTACACCACCACGAACACTACCACCACCACGAACACTACCACACACGAACACTACCACCTCCACAAACACTACCACCACCACAAACACTACCACCTCCACGAACACTACCACCACCACGAACACTACCACCTCCACAAACACTACCACCACCACAAACACTACCACCACCACAAACACTACCACCACCACAAACACTACCACCTCCACAAACACTACCACCACCACAAACACTACCACCACCACAAACACTACCACCTCCACAAACACTACCACCACCACAAACACCCACCTCCCAAACAGAACCACCTCCCACACACACTTCCCACCATCACGAACACTACCACCACCACAAACACTACCACCCACCACCACAAACCTACCACCACCACAACGCTACCACCACCACCACAAACACGCTACCCCCCCCTCCACAAACACTGCCCCTCCACACACACTTCCACCATCACGAACACTACCCCCTCCATAAACACTACCACCTCCACACACACTAATGCCACCACCACAAACACTACTATCACCACAAACATTACCACCCGCCACAAACACACTACCACCACGAACACTACCACCACCACACTACAAAGGCACTACCACCACAAACACTACCACCCCACAAACACTACCACCACCACAAACACTACCACACCACCAAAAAACTACCACCACCACAAACACTACCACCCCCCACAAACACTACCACCCACCCACCACACAAACACTAACCCCCCCCACCACCAACAAACTACCACCACCACAACCTAGAACACACTACTACCACAGAATACCAACACTAACACACACTACCCGCGCTACCACACACTACCAGTACTATCACACATTACCAGCACTACCACACACTACCAGCACTACCACACACTACCAACAGTACCACACACTACCAGCACTACCATACACTACCAGCACCACCACCACCACCACCTAGAATACACTACTGCCACACATTACCAGCACTACCACACACTACCAGAACTACAACACACTGCCAGCACTACCACACACTACCATCACTACCACACACTACCAGAACTACCACACACTACCAGCACACACTACCAGAACTACAACACACTGCCAGCACTACCACACATTACCAGCACTACCACACACTACCAGAACTACAACACACTGCCAGCACTACCACACACTACCAACACTACCACACATTACCAGCACTACCACACACTACCAGCACTCCCACACATTACCAGCACTACCACACACTACCAGCACTCCCACACATTACCAGCACTACCACACACTACCACCAGCACCACCTAGAACACACTATTGCTACACGCTACCAGCACTACCACACATTACCAGCACTACCACACACTACCACCAGCACCACCTAGAACACACTATTGCTACACGCTACCAGCACTACCACACATTACCAGCACTACCACACACTACCACCACCACTACCTAGAACACACTACTGCCACACACTACCAACACTACAACACATTACCAGCACTACCACACATTACCCGAACTACCACACACTATCACACACTACCACCACCACCACCACCACCTAGAACACACTACTGCCACACACTACCAGCACTACCACACACTATCACACACTACCACCACCACCACCTAGAACATACTACTGCCACACACTACCAGCACTACCATACATTACCCGAACTACCACACACTACCAGGACTACCACACACTACCAGCACTACTACACACTACCAGCACTACCACACACTACCAGGTAAGTCAAAATAACCTTTGTGTTTTATAGAGTGCAGTGATCTACCACCACATATATGCTCGTGTGAAGGCAGGTTAACCCACCCACCCTTGGGGATATTACCCAGCCCTGAGACGTATCCACCACCACCATCCCCTGAGAAGTATCCACCACTACCAACACCACCATCCCTTGGAAAGTATCCACCACCACCATCCCCTGAGAGGTATCCACTACCACCTTCCCCTGAGAAGTATCCACCACTAGCACCATCATCCCCTGAGAAGTATCCACAACCACCAGCCCCTAAGAAGTATCCACCACCATTCCCCTGAGAAGTATACATCATTACCACCACTACCATCCCATGAGAAGTATCCACCTCCACCATCCCCTGAGAATTCACCACCATGACCACCATCCCCTGAGAAGTATCCACCACCACCACCATTCCCTGAGAAGTATCCACCACCACCATCATCCCATAAGACGTATCCACCACCACCATCCAGTGAAAAGCATCCACCACCACCATCCCCTGAAAAGAATCCACAACCACCACCATCTTCCCCTGAGACGTATCCACCACTACCATCCCCTGAGAAGTATCCGCCACCACCACCACCATCCTCCGAGGCGTATCCGCCACCCCCATCCCCTGGGAAGCATCTGCCACCACCACCCACACCTTCCCTGAGAAGTGTCCACCACCAGCACCCTCATCCCCTGAGAAGTATTCACAACCATCCCTTGAGAAGTATCCACCACCACCACCACCATCCCCTGTGAAGTGTCCACCACCACCATCCTCTGATAAGTATCCACCACCATCCCCTGAGAAGTAACCATCATCCCCTCAGAATTATCCGCCACCACCACCGTCCCCTGAGAAGTATTCATGACCACCACCACTACCTTTCCCTGAGAAGTATCCACCACCTTCCCCTGAGATGTATCCACCACCTTTCCCTGAGAAGTATCCACAACTACCTTCCCTTGAAAAGTATCCACCACCGCCTTCCCCTGAGAAGTATCCACCACCACCTTCCCCTGAGAAGTATCCACCACCACCTTCCCCTGAGAAGTATGCATCACCAACTTCCCCTGAAAAGTATTCACCACCCTACCACCTTCCACTTAGAAGTATCCACCACCACCTCCTTCCCTTGAAAAGTATCCACCGACACCATTCCCTGAAAAGTATCCACCAACACCATTCCCTGAAAAGTATCCACCACCTTCCTCTGAGAAGTATCCACCACCACCACCTTCCCCTGAAAAGTATTCACCACCTTTTCCTGAGAAGAATCCACCAGGACCATCCCTTGAGAAGTATCCACCTCCACCACCATCTTCCCCCTGAGAAGTATCCCCATCACCATCCCCTGAGAAGTATCCCCACCACCATCTCCTGAGAGATATCCACCACCACCATTCCTGAGAAGTATCCACGACTATCACCATCCCCTGAGAGGTATCCACCACCACCATCCCCTGAGAGGTATCCACCACCAACACCAGCACCACCATCCCCTGAGAAGTATCCAATTCCACTACCCCCTGCCTCCCCTTGCACAGCATCCCCTGCCTCCTCTTCCACAGTAACCCGTCCCTCTCCTTTCACAGCATCCCCTTCCTCTCCTTCCACAGCATCCCCTTCCTCCTTTTCCACAGCATCCCCTTCCTCCTTTTCCACAGCATCCCCTGCCTCTCTTTCCACAGCATCCCCTTCCTCCCCTTCCACAGCATCCCCTGGCTCTCCTTCCACAGCATCCCCTACCTCTCCTTTCACAACATCCTCTGCCTCCACTTCCACAGCATCCCGTGCCTAAGCTTCCACAGCATCCCCTGCCTCCCCTTCCACAGCATCCCCTGCCTAAGCTTCCACAGCATCCCCTGCCTCCCCTTCCACAGCATCCCCTGCCTAAGCTTCCACAGCATCTGTTACCTCTCCTTCCACAGCATCTCCTGCCTCCCCTTCCACAGCATCCCCTGCCTAAGCTTCCACAGCATCCCCTGCCTTAGCTTCCACAGCATCCCCTGCCCAAGATTCCACAACATCCCCTGCCTTTTCCAACTACTCCATATAACATTCACCCCTCCTTCTAAAACCCCCCTCTTCTATCTTCCACCGTTCCTAACTCTCACCCCTCCCTACAACATTCACCCCTCCCTACAACATCCACCCCTCCCATTAACATTCACTCCACCCTATAACACCAACTCTTAACTATAACACCCACCAATCCCAATAACATCCACTCCTCCACATAACATCCACTCTTCACCATCATACCCACCCCTCCCCATTCATCAGCCCCCCTTTCACATCAATCAGCCCCCTCCCAATCACTGAGACCCTTCCCCATCTATCATTCCCTTCCCCACCACCCCATCTTTCAGCCACAACTCCTGGGCAGAGGAACGAGAAGGAGGAAGAGAAGGAGGAGGAGGAGGAAGAGGAGGAGGAAGAGGAGGAGGAGGCTTGAGAGAGTAGAGTGACTGACAGACACATGCCTTTCCCCAGGGTATCACACTGAAGATGAACGAGGAAGGTCGGTGTATCGTGGCACGCATCATGCACGGTGGCATGATCCACCGCCAGGCAACACTGCATGTGGGAGACGAGATCCGCGAGATAAATGGAGTTCCTGTGGCCAACCAGAGCGTTGATATCCTGCAGAAGATGCTGGTGAGGGTGCCTTCCCCCTAGACTACTGCAGGGTACTGTGTGTGTGTGTGTGTGTGTGATAGCATTTTGTTAAAAACACTTGTCGATAAGACATTTGACCTGTTCGGTGTTTGTGTGTGTGTGTGTGTGTGTGTGTGTGTGTGTGTGTGTGTTGTGTGTGTGTGTGTGTGTGTGTGTGTATGTGTGTGTGTGTGTGTGTGTGTATGTGTGTGTGTGTGTGTGTGTGTGTGTGTGTGTGTGTGTGTGTGTGTGTGTGTGTGTGTGTGTGTGTGTGTGTGCGTGTGTGTGTGTGTGTATGTTGAGTGTGTCGTATGTGTGCCTGAGTGTGTGAGAGGGCTGAGTGGGCTCTAGTGATAAGGATGTGTCTGCCCTGTCCTGTCTGAGAGTAATGGATGAGTGTCTTGTGGTGAGAATCCCAGTTGATCCTAGTTGATGGTCTGAGATGATGGTCTGTGTGTGCTATCAAGACCTCCGATGGTCTGTGTAAGTTATCAAGACCCCAGATGGTCTGTATGAGATATCAAGACCACCAGATGGTCTGTGTGAGTTATCAAGACCCCAGATGGTCTGTGTGAGATATCAAGACCACCAGATGGTCTGTGTGAGATATCAAGACCACCAGATGGTCTGTGTGAGATATCAAGACCACCAGATGGTCTGTGTGAGATATCAAGACCACCAGATGGTCTGTGTGAGTTATCAAAACCACCAGATGGTCTGTGTGAGTTATCAAAACCACCAGATGGTCTGTGTGAGTTATCAAAACCACCAGATGGTCTGTGTGAGTTATCAAAACCTCAAAGTATATTTATTGAAGTAAAATACTCTCAAAGGGCATATACACAAAGGTATACATCTCAGAGTATATACACTGAGATATACACCTCACAGGGTATATATACACTGAGGTATACATCTCACAGAATATATACACTGAGGTATACATCTCACAGAATATATACACTGAGATATACATCTCACAGCGTATATATACACTGAGGTATACATCTCACAGGATATATACACTGGGTGTTAAAATATTCTTGACTGGTGGTGAACAGGCAGCCTTAATGACATTCGTGTAGTAGATAGGCTTCAAACTCCATTAACCAAGAAACTCTGAAAGTACTGACAGGAGTTGAAGAGTAAGAGCCATTCTTAGGGCTCTTGTTGTGAGTGGGATGGGAGTTTAGTGAGAGGCAGGAGTGATCCCTCACAAGTTACGAGTGGGAATCTAGCTAAGGTGAGTGGGTTCTGGCTGTACTGAGTGGAGTGAGTGGGTTCTGGCTGTACTAAGCGGAGTGAGTGTTCTGTGTCTGTGCTGATGGGAGAGGGTGGGCTGTGGCTGTACTGAGTGGAGTGAGTAGGCTGTGGCTATACTGAGTGGAGTGAGTAGGCTGTGGCTATACTGAGTGGAGTGAGTAGGCTGTGGCTATACTGAGTGGAGTGAGTAGCCTGTGGCTATACTGAGTGGAGTGAGTAGGCTGTGGCTATACTGAGTGGAGTGAGTAGGCTGTGGCTAACTGAGTGGAGTGAGTGGGCCTGTGGCTATACTGAGTGGAGTGAGTAGGCTGTGGTTTACTGAGTGGAGTGAGTGAGGTGGCTACGAGTGAGTGAGTGCTGTGGCTACACTGAGTGGAGTGAGTGGCTGTGGTGTACTGAGTGGAGTGAGTGAGCTGTGGCTATACTGAGTGGAGTGAGTGACTGTGGCTGTACTGAGTGGAGTGAGTGAGCTGTGGCTGTACTGAGTGGAGTGAGTGGGCTGTGGCTGTACTGAGTGGAGTGAGTGAGCTGTGGCTGTACTGAGTGGAGTGAGTGGGCTGTGGCTATACTAAGTGGAGTGAGTGGGCTGTGGCTGTACTAAGTGGAGTGAGTGGGCTATGGCTATACTAGATGGAGTGAGTGGGCTGTGGCTATACTGAGTGGAATAAGTGGGCTGTGGTTGTACTAAGGGGAGTGAGTGGGCTGTGGCTGTACTGAGTGGAATGAGTGGGCTGTGGTTTGTACTAGTGGAAAGTGAGTAGCTGTGGCTGAACTGATGGTGAGTGGGCTGTGGTTGTACTGAGTGGAGTGAGTGCTGTGGGACTAGTGGATGAGTGGGCTGTGTGACTGAGTGGAGTGAGTGGGCTGTGTTTAGTGACTAAGTGGGTGTTGAGGTAGACTGTGGCGGAACTGATGAGATGAATGGGCTAGGATTGTACTGAGTGAGTGAGTGGACACTGTGGCTGAAACTGAGTGGTAGTGGAGTGGGCTGTGGACTGAACAGAGTGAGTGAAGTGGGTGTGGCTGAACTGAGTTGGAGTGAGTGGGTGTATCCTTCAGTGAGAGGGTAAATTATCTGTTATACGAAAGCCGAAGGAAAACATTATGAAGGAAATGAATGCAGCCAGCGACTGAATAACTCAGTGAGTGCAGTAGACACCAATCATCCCAGAGATAACTCAGTGAGTGCAGTAGACACCAATCATCCCAGAGATAATAACTCTGTGTGAGTGCAGTAGACACCAATCATCCCAGAGATAATAACTCAGTGTGAGTGCAGTAGACACCAATCATCCCAGAGATAATAACTCAGTGAGTGCAGTAGACACCAATCATCCCAGAGATAACTCAGTGAGTGCAGTAGACACCAATCATCCCAGAGATAATAACTCAGTGAGTGCAGTAGACACCAATCATCCCAGAGATAATAACTCAGTGAGTGCAGTAGACGTCAATCATCCCAGAGATAATAACTCAGTGAGTGCAGTAGACGTCAATCATCCCAGAGATAATAACTCAGTGAGTGCAGTAGACGTCAATCATCCCAGAGATAATAACTCAGTGAGTGCAGTAGACGTCAATCATCCCAGAGATAATAACTCAGTGAGTGCAGTAGACACCAATCATCCCAGAGATAATAACTCAGTGAGTGCAGTAGACACCAATCATCCCAGAGATAATAACTCAGTGAGTGCAGTAGACACCAATCATCCCAGAGATAATAACTCAGTGAGTGCAGTAGACGTCAATCATCCCAGAGATAATAACTCAGTGAGTGCAGTAGACGTCAATCATCCCAGAGATAATAACTCAGTGAGTGCAGTAGACGTCAATCATCCCAGAGATAATAACTCAGTGAGTGCAGTAGACACCAATCATCCCAGAGATAATAACTCAGTGAGTGCAGTAGACGTCAATCATCCCAGAGATAATAACTCAGTGAGTGCAGTAGACGTCAATCATCCCAGAGATAATAACTCAGTGAGTGCAGTAGACGTCAATCATCCCAGAGATAATAACTCAGTGAGTGCAGTAGACGTCAATCATCCCAGAGATAATAACTCAGTGAGTGCAGTAGACGTCAATCATCCCAGAGATAATAACTCAGTGAGTGCAGTAGACGTCAATCATCCCAGAGATAATCTTACGAGGGAATCATGGAATGAACACGTGGTATGATAGGAAGTTAAATGGATGAGATGATGAAGGAATGATGCAACATGATGAACATGATCAAGTATGACTAAGTATAATGTGTATATGTATGATATAACACTGTATGATATATGACCATGATGCATTAATATTAATGTAACTAATTGCAGTCTATGTTAGTAATTAATATAACTAATATCGGTCTAAGTTAATAATTAATACAACTAATAGCAGTCTAAGTTGATAATTAATATAACTAATAGCAGTCTAAGTTGATAATTAATATAACTAATAGCAGTCTAAGTTGATAATTAATATAACTAATAGCAGTCTAAGTTACTAATTGCATGGGGTAAAAAAATATAAATTATAAAAGAATGTATATTGTAATTTTTTTTTAAATTATGGGCATTTAACTTAATGTTTATAATATATATATATATATATATATATATATATATTATATATATATATATATATATATATAATATATATATATATATATATATATATATAATCATTTATTCAGAGAGACACTCTTGACGTAATTAACTTTCTTAAAGGTAAAATGTAAATCGGGATTTACGAATGAGAATCGTAAATTTTAACAAAGGAACTTTGTAAATAACTGACTCAAATGAGGCCTTTTATTCATAAAAGTAAATTAAAATTCACACGGGAGTGAATAAACAGAGCAATGGACGGAGACTCCCGTTTTAAACGGGACCAGTCTGTTGTGAAGCAGAACAGCTGCTCAACAGATGATGTCTGGTAATGATAGTTCTTAATCAACGATACGAGAGTCATTAAGGCTTCATTTCAACGATACGAGAGTCATTAAGGCTTCATTTCAACGATACGAGAGTCATTAAGGCTTCATTTCAACGATACGAGAGTCATTAAGGCTTCATTTCAACGATATGAGAGTCATTAAGGCTTCATTTCAACGGTACACTAAGCACACTTTATTTACATAGGGATTAAGCTCTCAGCATACTATATACACTGATACTGTAAACAAATCTCTCAATGTATATACACTGTTTATCCTGACAGAGAGAGAGAATGTTGGTGCTTGGGCACTGATAACAATGAGACAAGGCCATATACAGTTTATGGCATTTTACTGAGAAGACGTTTCGCTCACCAGGGACCTCGTCGATCGATGCAGTTCCTGGTGGACGAAACGTCACTACAATAAAATGCCATAATTTGAATAAATGGTTTAGAAAAGCGACAAGATTCCCAATTGTTCCACATGTGTCTTATTTGTCATCAAAATACCATACACCGTATCTTGTGCCTGATCCAACATACTTGTTGGTGTATTGTACCATTGATGCGCGTACTCTGTGTGAACCAACACGCCAGCGATTGTCTGTATGAAGTGAGAATGGCTGTACTCTGAGCCATTTACAGAAATGAAGTCATACTAACGACGGTGTTAACAATACCACTGACGATATTCCAGTTTTTTTAGCTTTAAGACTTATCGACTGTACGAGTCATCAATGACGCACTTCACCTGTTCAGCAACATCAAAGATACTACTTTATTCCCTAAAAAAAAGTGAAAGCTAAATC